AGCACTGGCCTTCCAACATGGCTACAGAAAAGCCATATTGTTACACATGGAGCACGGAGAATAAGGAAGGTTATTCTCTGTGAAGTGCTAATGGATTACTTACATTGATTGCAAAAGTGACAAGGAGTCCTGTGGCACCTTATAGATGAACAGATATATTGGAGCATAAGCTTTCGTGGGCAAAGACCCACTTCGTCAGATGCATGTAGTGGAAATATCCAGAGGCAGGTATAAATATGCAGGCCAGAATCAGGCTAGAGATAATGAGGTTAACTCAGTCAGGAAGGATGAGGCCCACTTAACCTTGTTATCTCTAGCCTGATTCTGGCCTGCATATTTATACCTGCCTCTGGATATTTCCACTACATGCATCTGACGAAGTGGGTCTTTGCCCACGAAAGCTTATGCTCCAATACATCTGTTAGTCTGTAAGGTGCTACAGGACTCCTTGTCGCTTTTGCTGATCCAGACTAACATGGCTACCCCTCTGATACTTTACATTGATTGATCCATTGTCAGGGATAGAACAAATTGCGAGCACAGAGACACAGCTAGTTGGTACTGTTTTCTCCTCCAGATCCTCCTGGAGTAGGTTTTCCTTCCAATATAGCTGCAAAACAGAGGTGCAATATCTTAGCAGATGAGCCGTGGGGAATCAGATCGTCTCTGCATAGGCAGCTTACCTACTGCTTTATCAATGCCTTTATTATATTCCCAGAGCACAGTGTTCTGAGGCTCACAGTGATAGAGTCACCTACCTTTGGAGGCAGAGTCTACAGCTGATGGACACCATCAGGTTGAAGTGTTTCACTGAACAATGCACAGTGTCCAGTTTGCAACATTAAATTCATCCAAAGCTGTTGAGCAATTTGTTTTTTTCTATTTTCCCCTTTCCTATTCAGAAGGGAAGGTCCCCAGACTCAGCCTAATGGAAATAAGGTCACTGGACCACATTAATCTCTAGTCTGATTCCAGCTGGTTTACACCAGAGAAAAATCTAGCCAGTATGTCGAGGATGCTGCCTGTTGTTGTTTCAGTAGGATAACCAACTGGTCAGCCTGACTCATGAATGAGCTCTGGGATCCCTAAGTAACAACAAGAAAACATCTGTCTTGTATTTGTTTATAAAATGGATGAGGTGGAATGCCAGGAAAAGGAAAAGGACTATACACTGGGTAAGCAGTAAGGAACCAGCTACGGGGTCCTTGAGCTGGACCCCGAAGTAGAGGGTGGGCCTCAGTTCCCCTACCAACAATGGGGAAAGTAGAATTAAGGCCTCTGATAGAAGAAGATAAGGATGTTCAAAGCCTATAACCAAGAGGGTTTATGAAGCAGGGGCCCAATGTTGGAGGTTGAAGAGCTGTTGTAAAGGCACTGGATAGTTATGTGTGGGACTTTGTTAATTCAGAAGGGTTCTCCTGACCTAGAAGGAAGGCCAAGTCATAAAGGGGGGGGGGCACCATATGTTGCTGAGAGGGGGAAATGGGACACAGAATGAGTAAGTGATGGAAGGGGGTGCCAAATGAAACAAAAGCTTGTCACCAGATATAGCCACAACTTAAGGGGGCAGTGAAAATCCTGTTACACCCACATAAGATCAGTTAGACCCTGAGAATGTGAGCAAGAACCATCTGGCAAAGCACCTGAGAGACAGAATGCTTGGTGCCAGCTCAGATCCATGGCCCTGCCTAATTCCCATCTCCAGCCATGGCCATTTCTAAGACTTCAGAGGATGGAGATGAAAAATAAACAAAAAACAAAACAGTAAAAGGAATACAAATTACTCTACTAGACCAAGGTGTGAACATAAGAGAATTTGGGCTAACCAGTAGCACCATGAATGACAGTGAAGTATTACTTTCTAGACAGCAACTGGCAGTAAAATTAATGCTTCTTTTACCATGGACAAAAACATTTCTGGTGACACTTTCCTGACCTTGCAAGTAGGAATAAGAGATCCTCCGGGAAAGGGCTTTATTCCGGAGGATCGCGCCAGTCTAGACGCTCTTTTCCGGCTTTTCCCCAAGCCGGAAAAAAAGCAGCGGCCATGTTTATTTAAATCCCACGGAGGATATTTAAATCCCCCGCGGATTTCCCTATTCTGACTTGCCTGCTTTGCATGCCTCTTCCGGAGAAGGGGCCAGTCTAGACGTAGCCAAATTGTTTAGATTTATTATTAATTTTTTTTCTTCTTCTTCTTCTTCTTATTATTAGTTAAGATTGTTAAATGTTTAGATTTATTATTATTATTGCCCCTTTAGAATATAATGTATTAGGTCATGTAACTTAGAACTGTTAAGAATATAATCCTATGTAGCCAGAAACAGCTCCCCCTCTGTGTCCCAGGGTATGCTCAAGCTTGTACAAGGGGCTGCTTGAAATTGATATTGCAGAGATACTTTGTAACAATGCATTGTCAAGCCACTAACTCTGCTATGGGAGCCAAGCCCTGTAATTGACTAAGGGCATTGTTACATAATTGACACCTGTTCTTCTTAAAACATTGTAACTTTACTCAGCACTCAGAGAATGTTTTAAGCAATACCACCCAGAAACTTTTGTAACTACAACTTTTATTATTATACAAAATACTGTATGTGGGAAACATTAATTAAGGAATGTATGTAAGAGAGAGAGTGCTTGGATGATGAGTGAATGGTTCTGAGAGGTGCCAGCCTGAGAATACAGCAACAAAGGGCTGAAAAAGGCGTCAGGTGCCAGTGCAACCAAAAGGTGTCAAGTGAGAAAACCAAGTACTGAAGGTCCACCCGATGAGATCACTGATGAGCACCTGGCAGCCACCCTGAAGACATCAGCATGATGCAGCAATTTCCATAGACTGGCATAGGAAAAAATTCCTATAAGAACTGGACTAAAAAACTATGGAATCAGAGTCCAAGGTTCTGCTGCCAGCCTACCAGGAGCTTCAGATGCACATCTGATCAGGACTTCGCTCCCCACTACCATCACTTGTGTACAGAATACCTGGCCATTTTTCTGTCACAAGCAACTTCCAGGCTGGTAACTATAACAAATACACAGAACCTGAATAAATGGATGAATGAATGTTTATATGTATAAGGGTTAAGTAGTTAAACAACGTTGTTTGCTTGTATCTTTTCTTTATTTTTTTATTATTATCTTTACAATAAATGTGGCTTTTTGCCTTATCCCCCTCATAAGATCCTGCTTGCTTTTATTTGGTATAACACAATGTGGGAAGCTTTTGCTCTGATTTGTACTGTCTCCTCTGCTGTAATCTGAATAATTTTCTTAATTCCATAGGTTAAGGTGGTAGTTCCTCAAGTCCTCAGTGAGAAGATCACATAGGGTATGTCTACATTTGCACTCTAGTTCAAACTAGGGATGCAAATTCAGGCATTTGAAATAGTCAATGAAGCAGGGATTTAAATATCCCGTGCTTCATTAGCATGATCTTGCTGGCACGTTACTCCGATCAACAGCGGTTTCAAAAGTGAAGGTGCATGCCGGGACGCGTTAGTTCGAACCAAGGGGTTTGGTTCAAACTAATGTGTCCCAGTGCGTACTTTCACTTTTGAAACAGCTGGCATTCAGAGTAACATGCCAGCGAGATCATGCTAATTAAGTGCGGATATTTAAATCCCTGCTTCATTGACTATTTCAAATGCCTGCATTTGCATCCCTAGTTCGAACTAGAGTGCAAGTGTAGACATACCCATAGAGAACTGTAGAAGGAGACAGAAGAGGAGACAGGGTGGATTGTGTAATCCAGTGGCTCTCAGCCTTTTCAGACTACTATATGCCTTTCAGGAGTGTGATTTGTCTTGGATACACTCAAGTTTCACTTCACTTAAAAACTTGTAAAATCAGACATAAAATACAGAAATCTTACAATATGTTATTAGCAAAAAACTGCTTACTTTCTCATTTTTACCATATAATTATAAAACAAATCAATTGGAATATAAATTTTGTACTTGCATTTCAGTGTATAGTATATAGAACAGTATAAACAAGTCACTGTATGAAGTTTTAGTTTGTACTGATTTTGTGGAAAGGAAGGTAACACAATTACTAACAGGTTAGATAGAGGAAGGAACAACTTTGAGAGGGTACCCCTTCTCTCAGAAGAATCAAGAACATTCCTCTTATCAGGATCTTGTCACCTTTAGATGGATTATTAATCCTGTCACTGATAACTCCCCTCCTTCCAGGGTGTGTGTGTAGAGAGAGATAAAAGTTGAGGAGACAGGTAAGTATATTAAGAAAAAATTACAATTCAGGGATAAAGGGAATAAGAAAAGTAACATATAACCACAGTTAATCAGTGACATAAGCAGTGGGATTGAAGCCCAGGCCCAGATAACTTGTTTCCTCTCTTGGCTTGTAAGAGAATATAAGTACCCCAAATTCAAAACCATATTCCTTTGGATCTAGGTGCAAAGTGAACGGAGTAAAGCCCAGAGCCTGCTACCCTTGGGCTCATGGGGAATCCCAGAGGAGGAATACTGAGAAGTTTGGAGACTGGTGTCACTCATGAGGGAATGAACAAGACCCTTCAGATGGTGTTGATTCCAGATAAGTAGAGATGAGATGGATTTGATGGGTGATAGTGTTGCATAGCTCCTCTTCTCCTCATAGTTGCCTTGGGTGATGCTAATCTTCAATGAAGCTCTGGAGCTAGAAGATCCCAATCCGTAAATGGCTGCCTCTGTGTTGACATTAGTTGCACATGCGCAGCACTATCTTATATAACCTCAAAGGCAGGAAAACCTGAGGTGATAGAATGTTTTCTGCCCAAAGGTGGGAAACATGAACCAGTAGTGGTGAGAAGAACTAGAATGATGCAGTTCCAGTCATCAGCTATTACTGAGGTGAAAGTGTCCTTAAAGATGGAGTCAGGGGCTGGAGTTCATGGATTCCAGATTGATTTGGCACACATCACTTATTATTAACTGATTAACATAATAAACTTTGATTAAACATATAAATCTTAAATACGATTAAAACATACTCACAGCTATTACTTTTTATGGAGTCTGCAGTAAAACTAGGCACAGGAGTGGCCCGAGGTGGGCTGTGGCAGCTGGCGCCCCAAGCGGAATGCGCAATTGGCGCCCCCGCCTGCACAGCCATCAATCGAGTGACGTCATAATTGGGTGCCCCAGGACATCATCATCAGGCGCCATTGAAAGTGGTGCCCTTGGCAACGGCTGAGTCGGCCTATAGTCACGAGCTGCCCCTGACTAGGCAAATATTTAGATGAGTTGATGTACCATCTGGAAGACCTCTGTGTATCCCCAGGGGTCTATGGGGAGGTTTTGGCAAATCAGTGAAGTGCCTGAGCCACTCCTGCTTACTGTTAAAGCAGCCAAGATAGCAATAGGCAGTAGCAATTCAGGCACTTTGTAAAGTGCATGGACCTATGCTGCAGCCTTAGCATGACCAAGTCAGGAGGGGAGGGGTTTGGATACCAGAGAAAGGGCATCTGGAGCCTGTGTCCTTCCTGATGACGAGATCTCTGTTGAAATTGCTGAGATATGCATTTAGAAAACATGAAGCTTATCTATGTGCCTCCAGGGATGTATCTGTCAGGGCCTCAAGGCATGCAAACTCTGAAAACAGGCATCCAGCTAACTGATTATCAGAAATCAACTTCTGGTCTAACCTTTAAAATTCCTTGTTTAACAAGTTTTCTTTGAATGACGTGTTATTGTAATACTAATGAATAAATAGGGTAGAAAAGTTTGGAGTAGTTGGACGCTTCAGGAAGTACTCTTCAGGGACTGTCCCTCTGGCCATATCTTGTGGTCCCCACCAGAAGATAGAAGATTGGCTATCGGAAGACTGCCACTGTGTCACTTGAGTAATTATTGAGGGTTCAGAGTGTTTTACTGACCTGTTGCAGACATGTGTAAGTGCATGAGACTACGTATAGTTTAGCTTTAAGTGAAAGCACTTTTGTGTTGTCTTATTTGTGCCAAACATCTATCAGTCAGACAGCTATATCTCCCTTGATTTATTTCCTGACACCAACCTTCATAGAGTAAATTTACTGAGAGCTTTGGGTTGAAAAAAATCCCAGGTAACAGGGGAACTGCTTGGGAACAGCAAGTGTAATCTGCCATCCTGGAGCCACCACGTCCTCCAACAATCTGATAAAGCAAAAATGAACATTTATGGCCTGGTCTGTTGGAGTGAGCTGTACAAATTATGGCATACCTAATTGAAGTCATCAATCAGTTACTTAGTTGGTGCAAATCGGTACTGCTCCATTGACTTTAATAGCACAGTGTCTGTTTACACCAGTTGAAGATATGACCCTTAAAGAAGTACAGAAGTAAACAATACATGCAATGTCCCAGAGGCACACAGATTACTTTGATAACAAATCCCAGGGAAGTTCATTTCAAACAGTTCATTCATGTTCCCAAACAATAATGGAGAACTATGTTCAAAGTATCATTCAACTATAATGATTCATTAAATCTTTGTCTGGATAGGGTTATCACACCATGACCTTTACACTTTGTAATGCACACAGATATCCACTCTGATATGAGCTGTTCCCACAGACGGTACATTGAGCAAATCCATCCACTCCTGGTTATAGGCAGGGAACAGACTACTGCACAGTCCACGAAAATGTAACAATATGCTCTTCAATTAAGATCTTGAGATTTAATAATAAAAAACTTTTATCTGCTCTTGTCTGCTTTAGTCAAGTTATTTTAAGAAAAAAATGAAAACAATTAAATGGAATTATGTTAATGCCACCATAAGGTAGTTGGTTTAAAATAGCCAGGATATGCAAATGGTGGGTCCTACAAAATGTACTTGACCACAATGAACAGTTTAAGGAGATGCAGGGGTTGGGATGTATTTTAAAATGTGGGTCCTGACCCTGCAAATGCTTATTTACAAGCTTAGCTTTAAGCACAAGAGTAGTCATATGGGTTTACAGAATCAGGTTTCATAGAGAATAAAAAATGAAGCTAGAGATTCCCCAACTGTGACCCACAGAGCCCTTATTGGTAGTCTGTGGAGAGCTGATAGGTCACATTGTCCTGGCTCCTGATACAAACAATGGAAATGGAAGTAGGAACAACCTGAGAAGGAAAATGACAATCGAATCAATGTGCAAGGAAGATGAGTTTAGCTGTCGCATTTTATATAGAAAGAAATGAGGCCATGTGGGCTTCAAAGAAACTAGAAAGAAGGATGTTGCAGTAGTCAGTGGGATATAATGAGAGAAAGAGGGATTTAGTTGCAAGGATGAAAAGTAAAGAATGGATCCTCTGTGAGGGGAAAGTCGCAGCAGGATTTGGATATGACCTGGAAGTATGAGGCAAGAGAGTATAAATCAAAACATTCAAGTCAAATTGGAGGCTTAAGTAACATGGAGGAAGATAGTCTTGTTGACTGAGATGAAGAAGAGGTCAAGTGAAAAAGGTTTTGGAGGGAAGATAAGGAATTTGATTTTGGATATGTCAAGATGACAAGACGTTATACAAGCATGGAATGAGAAGTTCAGGAGAGCAGTGATAAATTTGCAAATCATCACCATAGAGGCAGTAGCTGAAGCACAGTGAATGGATGTATTTGCCCAGAGTATAGAGTGAAAAAATCATGGAGCGAGCCAAAAGAAAGGAAGAGGGATGGAGGAAGTCCCATTAAAAGAGAAGCTGGTGGAATTCTGGGAAAACCAAGAGGGGACAATAGCACAAATGTCTTCTAATGTTAAAATGTCAAAAGGGAGAGAATAATTAACAGCATCAAAAGCATCAGAGAAGTCAGAGGATAAGGATGAAGTATAGCTCCTGAGACTTAGCCAGAGACTTTAGTGAAAGTGCTTTTAGTTAAGAGGAGAGAGTGAAATCCAGATGGGCAAGGATCCAAGGCAGAAATACTCTTAATTAGTAAACATGGCACCTTAATGAGTGTATAAGTAAAGGGCAGGCGAGAAATGAGGCAATAAAGAATCAGGCATTGACTGTTTCAGGCAAGACATGGACCATCTCAGTCCATGAAACAGTACCTACTGATGTGGTCCACACTATGAACAAAATTTAGAAACACGTATATTACATTATACATTTAACCAAAAGAAGAATAGCAAATACTGCACTCTAGGAATTTTAACTATGCTCTGCCTTGTTGTTTCAACAAGGATCTTAATGGATCTTAATGTTCCCTTAATATAGCATGTACATTTATTATTTATATGGCAAAAAATGAAGTGCAAAAGTGCTGTGTACTGTTTAAATCATAAATCATTACAGGATGAAGGCTGGATTGGAAAGGGTGGACAGATCTTAGAAGTTGAAGGCAGTCAGAGATATTTGCATTTGTGAGTGGGGTATTTCTCACCACTTTGGGGATTGCTATATGCTGCCTGTTGCTTTCTGAGATCAGCATGCACGAGATGGCAAACAGGAAAGCTGGTGGAATCTTGTCTTGAAGTGTCACTTTAACTATGGATAGGAAAAGTCAAGGAAGAGAGAGAAAACAGGCAGAGACACAGCTATGAAAAGGAAGAATTAAGGGCAAATTGGATTTGTCTGTAACTGGAATTGCTGGTACATATCTGGGCAGTGCAGTTAGAGGTTAACAATTCACAAATTATGGCAGATTCGTATACAAAGGTACAGTCAAATCTCTTTATCTCTCCTCATGACCTCTACTGCTAATTTTTAATCATTGTCTTTAAGCTCAATTCTCAAAATTTCATTAGCAAGATAGCTTAGCTTTTAAAATAACATACGATGGAGTGTCAGGAGATACTTTCAAAAGATATTTTCTGAAATGTACTTTATATATATAAGTTTATGGCCATGTTTCACAGATATACATTTCTGAGCATTATATGAGCAAGAGATCATGTTCCTTCCTATATTTATTAAATCACCATTTATACAATCTGCAGCACTGCGTGGTGGTAAGTTGGATGCAAGACATTTGTTTAAAATGAATTTAAAGGAACGATATTCTGTACTTAGGTAATGAAGCAGTAAATAAAAACATTTGCTCTGTGGGGTTTTTAAAAGCCATAGTAATACTCAAAAAGAATATGAAAAAGCTATAAATGTGTAGTACTTTTTGCACTTTTTATACTCTCCTTCTTAGAGAGAAAAAGTTGCAAGCAAAGGCCCAAAGGACAAGAACTATCTTCTTCTGAAATCAATGGAAAGACTCCTATTGTCTTCAATATGGAAGAAGTTTGTCTTTTTTGGAGAACTCCCAACAGGAGTAAATTATTATCAAGGCAAAATGACAGTGCACAGATTACCACACTCAATCCAGAAAACATCACACATGAACTCAACTGGCATACTTTGATGAATATTTCCTTATGTGTCTGTTTGTATGCTCAGACCTTGTGTAAGCCACCATACTCATGTGTAATATTTCAATTTTATAGCAGTCTGGATGATAAAATGTTGCCTACTGAGAAATCAGATATCTTTGCCTGAATTAACATAGTGGGCACTGAAGGCAAACTCCTACTTTGCTGGAGTCCTGGGGCTTCCCCTGCAGGAGTACAGTTCAATGGCATACGGCTTATATGAAATGAGAGCTAAATCTTATCTAAAACAAGGTGTGTAAGAAGGGAAATGGTGGTGGGTTTTGCTTTGCATTTAGAGCAAAGCTGCTTAAAATTGCCAAGAGTGAAATTGCCTTTTTGCTTAGCAAGATTATAAGAAAACTCACTAGCATTTGAACTTTATATATTTATGATCTCAGTAATTTTCCTTCGTAAATTATAGCTTGCTTGCCCTCTAGACTTCTAAAGGAAGTTATGGTGATAAAGCAACTATTTGGTGATAATGCAACTATTCAAAATTAACTTTTCATTGAAAATGCATTTTTTTATAACTATACTGCTCTGTTATCATTTAATCACTGTTTTGACTCAGCGCTTAGGCACATGCTTAAAAGTCTCATTAGTTTCAAGTTTAAAACTAAGCATAGAGTTAAGTGCTTTGCTAAATCAGGGCCCTAAAAATCATTTAGGTCCTTTATGATGAAAACAAGTACTAAATGTCATTCAGGATTCTTTCTGGATTAAAATCTAAAATTTTACAAAATATATAAACTAACATAAATCTAAAACACACAATTTCATGTTCTCAGATCCATCCCTCCATTTGGTTTACTAATTTACACCAATCAAGGATTGATACAAAAACATAATGAAATACATTCTAATGATTTTTCCTAATGTATCGTGTCATTCATCTTTTCCCCTTGGTACTAGGTTTTATAGGCAAAACAGTTACATTTCTATTCATAATTATATTAATAGAATATTCTAAAATATTGTGCCTTAGTGTGCATTATTTTCTGAGGTAGTGAAGCATTAGCTTCAATTAACAGATAGGGGGACACAGGAAAAGGGAGATCAAAAGTAATTTGCTAAAACCAAAGGGGAAATCTTGAATAGAGCTAAGAGATGACCATATCTCCTGAGTTCCAATTTTGTACCTTAGCTACAAATCCACCACCTTTTCCTCACAAGAAGTGAAGGGTACATCAATGCTGCAAAAAAAGACCCCACAGCAGCTAAAAGTCTTAGAACTCATGACAATTTTCTCCAGTTGATGAGGCTCACACAACAAGGCTACAGGATGCAGTGTAGTTACAGCCAGGGTTGTGAAACGTGGTGAAAGGGGAGAGTTTTGGTCCTCAGGCTCGATCCCACCTCAAACATCTACACTGCAGTTTTCGCCCTACTATGTGAGCCCCGCAAGCTCAGGCTCTGAGACACTGATGTGGGTTTTGTTTGTTGGCATTGTAGATGTGACCTAAGTCAGAGGTTCCCAACCTTTTTCTGAGTCTCCCTTCCCAACATGGAATAAAATCTCCAGGCCCACCTGTGTCACAACAACTGTTCTGCATAGAAATGCTCGAGTTGGCATTAGGGGGTAGCAATCAAAGCAACTGCCTAGCCCCCATGCCTGCGTATGCCATGTAAAGCAAAATTGCTCAGTCTTTGGCCTCATCACCACACAGTAGGGCTTGGGCTCAGGCCTAGGATTTCTGCCCTGGGCTCCATAAAGTCTAACGCCTGCCTGCTTGGACCTCCTGAAACCTGCAGACATCCTCTCCAAGAGGCCCCCGCCCCTCAGTTAAGAACTCTGCCCTAAGTAATCCTGGAGTAAGAGCTAAAGTACTATCATGGATAGAAACTTGCTAAGATAAAGAAAACAAAGGTGAGTTTTCAGCCTGGCTAAAGTTAGCCTTGTAGTCCCTAAATTTCTGTGATAGGATGGGTGTTGTGGGAAAAGGGGTTAACAGTGAAGTGGCAAAATGGGGAGATGACACAAAATTATTTAGAGCAGGTAAGATTTGAAATTACTGAGAAATGTCAGAGGTACCTAACGAAGCCATGTGAGTGGGCAGCACGACAACAGATAAAAATGTAGTGTTAAGTGTGAAGTAACAACCAGGACAACCTGGATACCTTTCTGGGTGCTAAAGAAACTTGTAACCACTCCAAGAAACGATCTAGGAATCATTGTGGGCATTTATTTAATATTAATATTACATTAAAGTTTCAGGCAGAAATGTTTTGGCAAGAATATCTGTTCAGATCAGTGATGGGCAACCTAGGCTAGTGAGTGGGCAGCATAAGTGGCCCTCCTTAAATCTCAGTTGTCCGCAAGATTGTTGTAACCAAGACAGTCTTCCAAGATAGGCTAGTTTTGGTAACTGTGCTTGTGTACCTAGAATTTGTGGGGAGCATCAATTGAACCGTAGCCACGCTTTGATTGGATGCAGAGGGTACGCGCATGTCTCTTAAATCAATGTTGTGTGCAGTCAGCACGTACCTCACTTCATGTGTCCTTGCATTATGTGTATGTCACTAGTAATACTGGAAGTGGGGAAAATGATGTGAATGGAAACCAGCAGAATCTGGCAACTCTGTGTGGGCAACAGAAATGTCCCACAGGCCACACATATACCCTCCTCCCCTATGGGCCCTGCACGGTACAGATCATTTTTGCACAAAAAGTATTAAAGGCTTTGCTATACTATGGTGTTAAATGACCCAGTTTAAGTTTTATCTTAATTTACGCTCAGTTGTAAATGAGTAAATGCAACCTTTTCATAAAGTTTCTGTATATATTGGTGTATCAGGCAGAAAAAGGCAGACAGAGTGACTACTTTTCAGTAATTATAATCGCTTGTCTCAATTTGGTCAGGTAGGGAGTCTTAGTGAAGCCATTTTCTATTAGAGATTTTATGCGCAATGGTAAATGCAACACTGAGAAATGAATTTTAACTTGTTATATGTGGTCAGTATACTTACATATATTCATAAACGCATCCCTGTTCAGGAAGAGCACTTAAGTACTTGCTCAAGTATTTTCCTGAATGATGGCTAAAAGCAGCATTAGAAGGAAGTTTTTGTACTTGCCTGTTAGTTTCACAAGCTGACGTGAGTAAACCACGCATCTACCCAGTCCTTACAGCAATGAACCCACCTTTTGTGAAACTGGTGTTTGCAGAAATCACTCTGCAATATTTTTTCCAGTCACAATGTCCAGGTTTGCTGGCAGTTGGGTTTTTTTTATTCACATTCCTGACTAGACTCAATTATTAATAATTCTTATACAGTGGGAAAAACAGTTGTACATTTTCTCCTCTATAGTTACATTTCCAGTAGTATTTTCATTATAGGTACCCATTTCTTTGGCATTTTTCATAATTGCCATGAAAAACTAACTGGGCAAACACAGGCTTAATCCAAGAGGAAAGCTATGGTGGATTTAAAAAAAAAACAGTTATTTTTTAAAATGACTATTTTTAGACATAACATTAAAAATTGGGAATGTCACGGAGTTAAGTTTATATTTTTTTTTAAATTAAAGTCCCAGTTCTGCCAACATTAGGCTTGTGAAACCCTTCAGTCCCTTTGTTGCATATATTTCTCTCACACAGTAGCTTGGGGTATGTCTACACTGCCACCCTAGTTTGAACTAGGGTGGCAGTGTAGACATACCCTTAGAGAATATTTTTTATTCCCACACTCTATGGTACAAAATTTCTCAAGCTTTGGCCAAATTCAGGAAAGAATCCCTATGCAGGAAAGCTCTTAGGCATGTGCTTAACTTAACTCAGGTTGTTGAAGCCCCACAGACTGCCAGAGCAGGAGAAGGACACTTTCTCGGCAAAGGAGAAATGCGTCCTGGTGGTGTAAAGAGAAGCACTGGAAGGGTGCATAATATGAAACATCTAAATAAACATAAGTAGAACTGGGTACAAAATGCAAGTTTTCTTCATGTGGTCAAGTCCTGTCACTGACTGTTATGTACAAGTTTATGCCCAAAAGACAAACTATGCTGTATGTTAACAATTACAATCATTTTTTATAACAAAACTTATGTCACTTAATTACTGTGGTAATTTATCTTTTCTTGTAATTTATTTCTTTTTTATTTTACTCTTCATAGTACTTTGCTATATTACTATCTTGCCTCAGTTTATAACCAACACCACTATGCTGCAGTGTAAATTGCTAGGCATAGGGCCTCCAACCTCTCCATTGTTTTGCCATAATCTAAGATTGATTTTTAGTTCTAATTGTGTTTCCTGGTTATTTTTGCCTATACTTTTCAGATTTCATCTGTGCCATGGACCAGAGCTGGGACATGGGTACTTGTCTGTGTCTTTCTTGCTGTGAAGTCCTTTCATGTCAATGGACACGAGCGCTCTGGACTTTTTGTGCAAGATGAAAAATCAATTAACTTCTACAAAACAAAATATAGTAGAGTTCTGATTATCCGACCTTCGCTTATCTGACCTTCCGCTTTATTCGACATAGCCATACCACTGCTGCTTTGTCTGTCAGTGCGCCTTTGTATGGCCAGCCCACTGTGGCCGGGCCACTCCATTGCCTGTCATGGTGATGAGTGCTGGGGGGAGTTGGGGGCCTTCCTTTTGGCACAAGGGCTCTTGGGAGCGGCAGTTGCAGGTGCAACGGGGGCAACTCAGAGGAAGCCACATAGGCTGCTCCGTGCTCAGCCCGAGCCGCTCTCCAGGGGCTCCCACAGCCAGGCCATGCCCTCCCCAGCCACACTAGCGAAGCTTACTTGGGGGTGACACAATTTGCATAGTGCAAATTGCGTTATTTCAATTTTAGAGTGCAATCTAGATGTACCTTGAGCTTCCATGCTTATTGCAAAATTTGGCACATCTACACGGTGCCAAATTTAGAAATAAAGTACTATTTCGAGACATCCCTTATTCCTCGTAGAACGAGGTTTACAGGAATACTGAAATAGTGTGTTTGTTATTTTGAAAATTATTTTGAAATAGCAGACGTGTTCCTATATCCCAAAATAGCCTTGCAGTCTAGACATACCCTTAGTTACTCTCTTGGCCTTAGAAATGGGCAGCACCATGGGGCCCCGGGCAGCACCACGGGGCACCGGACAGCACAATTTCGCGGGGCTCCCCCCTTTGACACGGCGCATGCACCGTGGCACCACGGCTCACGCCCCAAATCCGCTGCTGATGCTATGCATGATTTGCAGTTCAATAAAGAACTACAGGCCTATCAAGCTGTGCAAATTGTGAACCATCTACACTGGATCAAATGTTGGAAAAAAACCCTTTTTTGGAACATCCCTTCTTTCTGGTAAAATGAGGTTTACAGGGATGCCAAAAAAATGTGTCTGCTCTTCCAAAAAGAATTTCAGAAGAGCAGATGTGTTCTCTGGACATGGCAGAGTTTTTTCCAGGATATCCCTTTCACTTCCCACATCTTCTCATTATTCTTCCCTTGACAGGTTTGGTCCTCTGGCCAAATCACATAAAATTCTAACTCCTTTAGGGTAACATGAACAAGTGCAAATAAAAGTCTAAAGAGTCCTTCAGACTAATAGCCCTTCCACTATTCTCAGGCTTCACTGTATCTCTCTTACTGTCTCTAATTCAGGGCTTT